CATGGTGGCTTTAGGTTCCTCTCTCAGGGACCCTTTGCTGCTCTGAAATCCCTCCTTTCATATCCTTTTCCTCCTTGAATGACTCTTCATCTCTGGGCATCATTGATTGATTGGTTTCCCTGTGGTTGTCATACTGCCCATGTTCTGTTCTGTCAGCAGATTCCTTTGTTTAAAAAACCTGTCACATGCACACATCTTAATTTGGCTGTTTACTGGTTTCTCCTAATTTTGCCCATCCACTAAAACCATAAATCCCAAGGGCTCTGCAGTTTGACACTGTGACCTAATGTCACCTTATCTCATGTTCTGCACCACTGTGGTTTGTCTTCAGTTTCCCAGCCTGTGTGTCTGCTGGCTTTAGACATTGTGGGCCTTGAAGAAAACTGTCTCTCAAACAAGCTTTTAGACAAATAGGCTTTTTAATCAACTAACCTTTGCTGTTCCCCTGGACCATTGTTCTAATGCATATCTACTTTACCTACAAGCCAGTTTTCAAAAGAAACCCTCTAAATACCATTCTTTAGCCATCACTGTCCAGCTGCTAATGTCCAGTGGGCATTCAATTCATCAGCGACATTAGTGTGTCTCTGCTCAGTGTTGCAGTTCTGGAACCAAATTACAGCCAGCAAAGAGATTGTGAACTCTCCATCCTTGGAGGTTTTTAGGACCTGGCTAGGAAAAGCCTTAGCTGGGATGATATAGTTGGGGACAGTCCTGTTTTGAGCAAGAAATTGGACTAGATCAGTGATTCTCAACCTTTTTCACACCAGGACCCATTAGCATAATTATCAGCTTGCTACAACCTGCGACCTACAACCTCCTGGCCCTGACCCACACAGTCTCTCTCTCTCTCCCTCCCACCCCTCCTCTGGCTGCTACATCTTCTTTCCTCTCCAGCTCCTGGGGCTGCTCTCACAATGCTGCATGCTTGCCATGCCCCTGGCTGCATGCCAGCTCCATGCAGGCTGCCAGTGTGCAATTCTCTGGGACCTCCTTGCAACCGTTTACAATGTTCTTGCGACCCACTTTTGGGTTGTGACCCACAGGTTGAGAAACACTGGACTAAATGACCTCCTGCAGTCCCTTTAAACCCTAATTTTCTATGATTATATGAAGTCACAGGAGAGACATTACATTTCTTGCTTGAAACTTTTTTTCTGAATGGCAGATAGCATTAACAAGGAACAATTTCTCATCATGGGGGGAATCACCAGACACATTTCTTATCGTTATGCACTATCTGTAGATAACAAATCAGCCATTATATATAGAAGCAAGAGACTGGAATCCTGAGTGATTTTTCTGTCAAATTGTATCACATTACGTAATAGCTTATTTATGAGGAATCCAATTTAAATCAGTGGAGTTTTTTGTGAAATAAAGTACTAAGTGCCAATAAGTTTCTTACTCTGGCCCGTAATAATGAAACACTTCAGTGAGCAGTATGTAGCCAGAGGGCGTTGCATGGGAAGCATTATGGGACATTAATGCTCCTGTGACGTGCGCTACACGGAGACCATCAAGACAGGCACATTAAATAGAATTGGCAAGATTAGATAGTGAGGGGTAGAACAGACTGGCAACATTGTAGAAAAAAAGCTGGAAGAAAAAAAAAAATGGGGAAAAAGTACCTGAGGGGATTAAAGCTCTCACTAGCTTTGATAGATTGTACTCAAAAAAGTTTCTTCCACTTTGAGAAATATTACCAGTAATAGTAGTAGAAATCATTTTAACTTTGGGGAATATTTAAGTCATTAGGACAGGCTTTACAGAAGAAAAGAAAAGCAGGAAAGAGGCAGGATTAGTTGGCAGGTGGAAGCAGCAGCATCTCGAAAAACCAATATTATCGCAGATGTCCCCCTCCCAACAGCTAACATGAAAAAGCACATGCTTCATGTATTTATAATTATATTCCCATGCAGCTGAGTTACAACAGATGCAGCAGAAGGTAAAGATATATCGATTTCATTTTTGTGGGTCCTCAATCCTAGGAATGACTTGGGGTGCTGAAGGGACCTTCTGGCAGTTGGAAATTGGAGGGAGCTAGGAATGTAGGACATGGGGGAAAACATAGGAACTACTATCATAAGCCTACATCATTCAGAAATGTCCCCATGGCAAGACATCCCTCTCCAGCTGGATCTGCCATCTCTACAGCCCTTTTGCACAAGGAGACTAATATAAAGTAGTCACAGTGCAGGAGAGAACCTGGCCTACGAGATCTACACAGATTAGAGCAGGATTCTTCAGCAAGAGCCAGAAAGTGCCAGATGGCCACCCTGTTTCCTCCTGTGCTTTCCATCACCACACCCAGCAGAAAGAAAAGGGGGAAATTAAAGAGCATATTAGGGTGCTGCATGGACAGGCTGTGGGCAGCCAAGGCTGCTTCTATGAATTTAGCTTCAGTAATAGTGCTTCTTTTTGTATGCAAATCAGAAAAAGGGGATTTCTTGTTCAGATTTCCCAAAGCAGAGCCTAGATTTGCAGATATAAAATGACAAAAATCACCAGATGACTTCAGAGACGAACAGAAAATATCCTTAGAGACTAGGTTTTTTTGGCAAATTGCCTTTAACCCAAAAACTTACCAAGGTACCCTTTAAATTATTTTAAATGAATTGGGTCGTTTAAAATTTAAAGTCTTCCTAAAGAATCCTTTGAAGACCTTTACTTGTTGTATAATTAATTCCCACCTCTATTTCCTTCTCTGCAGTTGATATTACCCCTTTTATGATTGCTATAATTACAAACTTCTTAATCTCACAAACATACAGGCACACATGTACATAGGCACAATGTACATTTTTAACTGAAAACAAAATGCCTAGTTTTCTCTTACAGCCTCTGCTTGCACCATACGGCTCTTCAAATAAAATACTATTTGAATACATCTGACTTTTGAAAACTGTTTTTTTTTTTCCAAGAAAGCTTGAACTATCTTTAGGCATAATTACTTTATGCAAAACAGCAACAACAATGCATAAAAATGAAAGAGGAAATGCTTTACCATGGCTGTGGAGCGAAACAGCTTCCAAAATTGTCTCATTAGTGCTGCCAAGTAATGGTTGCAGGCTGACAAGCTTTGGACATTCTCAGGCTGTAGCAGGTTGTAGACCAATAAGCCATTCCCTGACCTCTGTCTCCTGTTTACCATTATTTTGGTTTATCCAAATAGTTTGCTAATGATTCCTTTAGAACATACAGTTGCTTCAATAAGAAATATTCTGGGTAAATGAGCTGCCCTGATCATCTTGAACCCCTTTTCAAGCTTGCCTGGGGAATATATTCTCCCTACCCATTGGTTCATTTCCTTTCATTTCTGAGATGTGGCATTCTATTTCTTGAACTGACTGGATTAATGCAAAGACGAATTTTTGCTCAAGATTTGTAATCTTGCTATAATTGTTCTTACCCCCTAATTTCCTGCCAGTCTTGCCACAGCATATTATTTTTCCTTTTCTATGCTGATCAAAGATAGCCAGAAATAATTCCACACGCACAAAATATATTGCCTGGCTTCTGGCCTTAGTATAGTTGCCTATGCTGTTAACCTAAGACAGCTCTCCAGCCCAGAGCTCTATTCTGCAATGAATGAAAAGCAACCAACAGCATGGAAGCAGCTGCCTTTTTTGGAAAAGGATGCAAGCAGTTAGTGCCTCACAAAGAACATCATCAGTTCAGAGAAGTGCAATTAAAGGCTTCTTACCTGCTTTAGTTTTATAGACTTCAGTTTATAGACAAAGCATTCATAGCAGCTGATTAAGTAGGTTGTCAGCTGCAAAAGCTTGTGTCTCTGTGGATAAGCTGGTTTCTAAGGTGCCACCCTGCTCAGCCTTCTGTCAGACTTGACAAAGGTACTGGTGCCAGCTCACGGTCGGGGAGGAGAGAGGGGAGAACATGATGGCAGGATAGAAAATTGTCTAGGAAGATGAAATATTTGCAAAGAGTAGTGAGTTTGAGGAACTGTAGTAGAATCGTGGGTAAGCCACAGGGAGCAGGAAGTATCAGTGGGACTGGATGATTCTTCATGCCTTCTTGCAGCCCAAGACAGTTGAGTTAGGGAACTCAGTGATCCAACTGGAGGGAACTCCCAGAATCCCAACCTTCAGGAAGCCCTGAGCAAAAGCTGCCAGAGGGAGTGCAGCTTCATGGTTAGAATGTAAGGCCAGTTGCTAGATGTTGTTTACTATTCTTGACTAGTCTAGGACTCGCACCTTGTTCATATCATTTCATTAATCACTCTGTCCTTTATTCATCTATAAAATGGGTATAACACTGTTGTCTTCTGCTGAGCAGTAGCAGATGTTGGGGCCTGACATATCAGTTTCCCATTGGAGAAGAAGTTGGTGATAGGGGCTCTCTATTTCCCAAGTGCAACTTGTTTATTTAAACACCATACTCCACTTCTGAAAAAACAGGTGGTTCCCAATGGCAAATAGGCAACACTTTCTCCTAGGAATCTTAGCTTAACTATCAGAAGAAATAAATCTGACCCAAGAATTAACTGCAGTCTGAGAGTTTAAGACAGAAAGCAAACTCCCTTCATTTATGAGGGAGAGTTTCCTTTTGTGGAACCTGTCCAAAAAAACTCAACCAACCAAAAAAACCCCTCCCACCTCCTCCCAGAAAATCCCTAAAAAAAGAATAGAACATTTCTTTAAAGACTATATACAGTAAGCACATCTACATGAGAGACTAACTGCACTGTAGGCTAATATTACTGTACAGTAATGCATCACAGCACAGTGCTAATATGCTACTGAGCAGTATTATTAGGCTACTGCATAGCAGTGTCACTGAAAATGCTAAATTAGTTGAAGATTTTTCTACAAGTCAGCCAAAGCATTTTACCCTGAAAACTTCTTTCACTTCAGCAGAGTCCACAGGCTTGCCAATTAATGTTTCCATGGTTGGCTCCAAACCCTCTGCCCTTTAATCACCCTTGTTCTCCCTATTATTAGAGGTAAGAGTGAGAGTGAGAGACTGCCCAGTTTCCATTATTTATTATATATAAACTCTCTAAGATAATAGCAAGGCAAACTAGTTACACAAAATTATTTTCTTATACAAAATAAAGCTCTTTTTTAAAAAATTGGATCGATAATGTTCTTTCTGTGTACATTGACTGTGTGCTGAAAAAACATCCTATTTGATTTGGCAAAGATATAGATTTGAACTAGACACACAATTCTGAACTGGACACACAATTCTGTGCCATCTTTACCATGAAAACTGTTCTAGACATTTGACTCAAACATCTAACAAAAGTAACCTTCTCATAATTACTAACTTAGTTTCAAAATATATCACTTGTCATAGTTCAAGGTATCAGCCTAAAACTTATACTTGATAAAAAGTTATGGCTATGTGAAGTCAGTTGGTTTGAAGCTAAAACATCTACTCAGGTCACAGGCTTTTAGTTAGAACAGATATTCATGAGTGACTTCATGCTTGATTTACAACAAGTCACATCTAGGAAGAGAGTATCACAGGAAAATCTGTAATAATGTGCCAAATTACAAAACAGCAGGAGATTCTGATCAAATGGAAAAAAAGAAGCATGGAGACCTGCAAACTTTTATTTATGCGAACATTCCTATTGATTTCAGACAAACTGCTCATAAGAATAAGAGTTTGTAGTACAGGGCTATTCCTTGCATCAGGTAACCTTTAGGGAGAAAAAGTGGACGGAGAAGAGGTTAATTCAGTGATCTCTCTCCCCCCCCGCCAAATTCATATTTAGCCAAGAGGGAAGAAGCAGTGCTGTGAACAGCTTATGTTCAGGAACTGGAATGTGAACTAGACAATACTATGCTGGCCAAACTACAAAACAGGAAATAAAGTTAATTTTAATAAAGTTAACAACATTTTCTTCTTCCCATTGCCTCGAAGTCTGATGTTACACAGTAAAACATTCCATTCAATAAGCCTGATGCACCTTTGCCCCAATTTTGCTGCCTTAGGACTAAGATCCCTTACCGGCTTATAATCATACATACGCTATATATAGTGCATATTCCAAGCAGTTGCATACATTTAAATTTTTCAACAGCTTCAAGCACTCGGTGCATTTCTAAGTGTTTTTAATTATTAATACATGTTTCTTCGAAGAGGCAAAGCAGTATGTTTATTTATAAACAAGTATTTAGCTGTTTTCCTTTTTCAGGGTTCCTCAGTTAGCGCACACGTTGTGTTGGAAGCTTCCTGTAACTGGCCATGAAGCTTTGAGATCTCCAAGAAGAAGGACGCAAATAGTTTTGTTCCTTGAATGTAATTATACCTATGAATAAATACAGACATAGAGATGATGAAACAAATGATCAATGCTGTCAAACTGATTCTGCAAATTAGGGGCCTGATTCTCTGACTGGCTGCTAAATTTAATCGAGAGAAAGGGTAAGAAGGGACAAATGAAGTGCTTGAAGTGAAAAGTGCCCAGAGTCCCATAAGCATGCCTGCTAGTGCCAGCTGTGATGCCAAATCTCTCCCCATCAATTAACAGCATATCAAACATAGGCAAAATGAATTGTTACGCAGGAGACTTCTAATCTTCCTCTCTGGTCCTGAAGACACAGAGTTGGCATGACTTTGTGCACATGGCAGAAGGAGCCTAGGGGCATTGGAGGAACAACTGTGTGAGTTAAGGACTTAAGTAAAATGTGAGTGCCCCAGAAAGATGCATTATGTCCCTTTAGCCTACCTGCCCGTAGCATTATAGCATGGGTTTACACTGAAAAGGTAAAGGGTGAGTGCTGCTGTATTCCCTATTTATCCACAGCCATATGGAGCTCAGCATGGGCTGTAAAGCCCACCCGAGAAACCAAATAAATATTCAGGTGGTTAAGCCCAGCTCAATGTTGTTGTGCCTAAACTTGTACTAATTCCTGAACAAATTTAAAGCTAGCTTTACATGAGATCTGCTTGAGCTGCAGTCACTGTAATACAGACATATGCTTAGCTACATCTAGCTCTTCAGGCCAACATGAATAAAAAGCAGTAAAACCTTTGCTCCTCCCCCCAGACTAAGCTACACATATAAATAACACCCCATCATAGATTTTCTGATTAAAATGCTGTTATATTACATACTGTCCTCCCATAGCAAAAGTATGTTTTAAATCAAGTTAGTAACAAAAAATACCTGTGATATATTTTAAAGGCAAGCTAACTGGTTTGTGAGAAATTGTGTGGTTTGGATTTAAGGTGACTTTTCCCTACGGGGCATGACAATAAAATTCTTGTTGAAGATGATAGATAGGAATCAGCTATACTCTGTGGCCCAGAGATGGGGCTGTCACCAGAATCCTGGCACTGCTCTCAGTGAGTGTTGGAGGACTCTAGTTCTTTCCCCACTTCTTTTATGGTGCTTGAAACACAAAACTAAAACCTGCTTATTTTTTCATTTTGAGAATGCTCCCCGGCATCAGCTGCTCCAATTGGAAGCGCAATAGGGATCGTTGATCCATCCCGGATCATATCTGGTTCTTCTCCAAAAACTGAAACACACGCAAAGAATTGATTTCTGCATCTACAGAATTATGTTCCTTAGAAAATGGTTGGTTTTAGGGAAGCTTCTTACCTTTAGTCGAAGTCACAATTCTTTCAAAAAAGGTCTATAACAAATGTTAAAGATGGAAAAAAAAGAACAAACAAACCTGTTTTAATTGCTCTTCTGGCTGCTAGGTACATAGGATTGTTAATATCAGCAACCCAAGGCATTGCACCCATTGGCATGGACACTTTCAGTTTGTTGGAACTGTTTCTCTTAGAGAATACTTCCTCTAAATACTGTGTCACCTACAAGGAAAATGCCTTTCTATTATGAGTGTTTATAGAACTTTCATCCTTCAACAAAAAGGTACCCATAAATTACGTTAATCTCTATATCCAGTGTATGCTACTTGTTTATATCTGGTTGAATACCATGCCAACGATGCATGAGCAGCCCTCTGCTTACACACCTAACCTCATAAACAGGTATGTATCGGAAACAGACCATTCATCATTCTGATCGTCAATTTAAAATGTTGATAGGACCTCTGAATCAAGGACTTGACTTGCACTGGACCAAAGGTTAAAATTTACCTGCTTTTCCACAGTTGCAAGAGCCATGTGTGGGACTTGCCTAATTGAAAATTTTCCTATTACTTTTGATGGTATAACAGTTTTAATTCCTGGTTCATAAAAAGCTCCTTCAATCCCATGGACAGAAAGACAAGGATAACGCCACAAATGTAGAAGTATGTCCTCCTTTAAAAAACAACAAATGTACAAAAAATGTACAGCAATTCACAACTGGCAGGATTAATCTACTCAAAAACCAAACATCTTGCATTCCAAAATTTTTACCTGATCATTCCTGTAATTTACAGCTCATTGATTTGTGATTAAAACCCCCTTTGTCAACAAAAGGTCTTGCCAGGTAAACTCTGCTACTTCATTTTAATCAACATTTCCCTAAAGCATAGAAATAATTGGAAGAAAAGAGAGATTCATGTGACAGAAAGAGCAAATTATTTATCTATTTTCATATTTCTCATTTTACAGAAAGATTACAAATTGTGATAATCGATAATTGCAGTGTATGCTACTCATTCATATTTGGTTGAATAATAATTTGAGTTGCTTCCCATTTATAAAACTATACTTTTATCTGGAGCTATACAAATTCTGATGCCAATGACCTGACTTCAAAAAGCAAAACAAAAGCAAAGCACACCTTGAGTCCGACTGGCTGTTGATTTCAGAACTAGTAGCCTACTCAGTATAAAATGGAATTTGTTCAAATGGAATTGGCTTAACTAAACAGAACTGAGAAGCTTTCATATTACAAAGAAAAACAATCTTTTCTAATATAGCATACCTCTTATCTAAACAATGAAAGCAATAATGGGACAGCAATCAGTAAATAATTCCTTCTCCTTCTCTGGAGGAAGAGGAGGAGAAGAAATTAAAATAAAATCTTTAAGATTGCAACATAAAAAAATGTGTATATATATATATATATACACACACACATATATATATATATATACACACACATATACAAAATATAGGAAAATAAATACGATTGGCATACACACAAAAATCCCCTTACGAGCGGAATATATTCTTTTCTTTTCAATTTCCATTTTTGTTGATAGTTATGCCTCATTTACACATGGGAGTTTAATGCACTTTAACAATCCTGGTACAGAAAGGGCACTTACACACATGCAGAAAGGCTGCTCGGATGCGCTGTAAATTCAGCACGTCGGAGTAGACTTGATTAATTGAGTCTGCTGGAGCGGGGAAATTAACATGCTCCAGCAGCCTCCAGCGTCACGTGTATCAGCATCCCCACGCTGAAAAATGGTGGTGGGGCGCTTTGAACTAGAGCTTGTTGAATGAGCTTTAGTTCAAAGTGCCACGCAGCCATTTTTTTAGCACGGGGATACTAATATACATGATGCTTGGGTGCTTTTAAGTAGTATTGCTCGCTAATTAAAGTGCCCTCTCCCCGCCCTCCAATGCCCAAAGTGGCAAAATCTCCTTAGTTCAGAAGAGTGATACTCAGCTAAGATGCCAAGACAGTCTAGGGATGCCTCGAGATCCTCTCAAGGATGCTGCAGGATGCCAGACAATGTTAGCACTGTTAGGTGGGCAAACACATTTTGTCAGATGAACCCAGAGATTTCCAATGGAAATCCACAGTATTAAATACATTCTTACCCTTTGTGATCTGTCTGTCCTGTTTGCAACAGAAAAATTGCTTTGCTTTCCTATAGCCAGGAAATGAGTGAAAACGAAGAGCTGGCATTTGATGCATTGACACTAACAAATATACATGCTGGCAGTTGCCACAGAGGCAACACACTAAGTTCACCCCTTAGCTTACCTCTCATTGCAATTTGTCTGGCCACATTCATACTTTTACACAACTGTCTTACTGGTATAGGTTGTTCCAGTTCAGGGACTTCTATATGGGAATAACTACATTCACAGCAGGGCTCTTAGCAGTATAAATATATTGGCAAAAATAAACGTAAAAAATCATACCCTCGCTGACATATAAAACATAGTTTGCTATTTGGCTTGCAATTTAAAGGCTTGTGAAGGGGGACTATTTTGGTATGTCTGTCAGACATCAACATCTGAACTAAATATATAAAGATAGCAAAAAAAAAAAATCACATAAACTTTTCTGCAGCTATCCACTTCCCAATCTTGCTTAAAAGCCAGTGTTTACCCATTTTACCTTAGGGCTTTTCTTATGGTTTCCTTGTTTTTCTGCATTATCCCTTTTCACTAAAAATTTATAGTTCAGATTATATTTCCCCAGATATATTAGTTTGCATTTGACCAGATGGGCACTCTCTCTCTCTCTGTTTCTCTTTAAACTTTTTACTCGAGTCTGCAATGATCTAGATTCCTTCGTTTTATTTTGTTGTGTTCACTATTCCTTGAAAAAAAATCAGTGAAGTCTGAAGTTATCAAGTGAAGGTAATAGGTCATTTAAACATTTTCTACAGATCATTAATAAAGATGCTACCATACCTTGGTGTCATAGAGGAATTTATTCACACCAGCAATAGTTTTATGTTCCTCTAGATCATATTCAATTGATTCATACAACTGCTTCTCCTCTTCTGTAAGGGTAGCAACATCATCATAGATTCCAGGGATCAGAATATGACCCGACATATTCACAAGGCTGTCTATGAGTAGATACCAACAGAGAGATACAGGTGCTGGTAGGCTGAGGTAGACAACTTCTTCTTTTACATTTAAAGCAATGGTTCCCATTATTCTCCATAGTGAGACTCCACTTTTCTGTGCCAAGACTTCCAACCCCTTTCCTTCTAGCCTACACACCCATTTACCTTTTACAGTATGAGAAAAGTCACAAAGCCCTAGAAACTACTTGCTGCCCTCAAGGTTGTGACTGCCTAACGTAGAGTATTTTTATTAAAAATGCATTGGGCTGCTATTGACAATATGAGTAGCAACAGAGCCAGTAGCTGACATGGATCCTTATTCCACATACTTAAGAATTAGCCTAGAATTCAGAAGCCTTCACTAATGGCATATCTAGTCTAGCTTTCAAGCTGCCACAAAATCCCTGTCCATAGAAGGAAAATCTCCTACCATTGCTGAGGTCCCACTAGCTACATGAGCATTAAGAACACAGAGTCCTGCTTCAGTCAGGCTTTTCTTGAATGAGTCTAAGAAGCAGGCCTAATAAACATTATCAGGTCTATGGTGCTGAAAACAGTATCAACAACTGGTGGGCTGTCTCAGTTGGTGCTCCCAATGCTGCTAACACCAGTGGAGATGGTAGAAAATATCTGTATTTTAGGTCAATGAGACCAGGACAAATCAAGATTCAGCAAGATACTTAGAATGACGTGTATTTTTAAGAACCCAAGGTTCCT